GGATTTGGCTTTTTTCAGTTACTCTCACCCAGCACTTGGGATCAAAGAACTATATAGTTTAAAATAAGATGTCCTAACAATTTGAAACAAACCCCACTTGAGTAAGTGCTATCTTAACATCACCTGTAGACTTCTAACATCCTGTTTACATGGGTATTTCCCACTTGTTTAGGCCTTAGAAACCTAAATGTAGGTGCCCAACTGCTGTTTCAGACTTGAGCTTAGGTTGTATGAAATCCTGGTTTTAGATAGATAAAAACTGCAAACCTGATACTCACAAAATGCAAACCCTAGCAGAACCCTGTAAGGGTAATTTTTTATCACTGTCCCAATCTGAAGGATTTCCTGGCTGGTTTACATGTGATGCTTCATCTCTGGCCAGAAAGCACCCACGCCATCTTATACCTTCCCTTGCACATTACTGCAAGGAAGGCTGATAGGAATGGTTTTGTCAGGAGATAGAAATCTCCTCCAGCAGTCTTTGATCTGGAAGACACAGCCACATCCCATGACTAATCTTTTCATAGGTCACAGGCCAGCTCACCCTTAGACTTATTTGCATTCAGACACTCTTCAGCAATATCCTGTTTTCTAATTTAGGAAGTACTGATGATTATACGTGGGTTTTGGCTCATTTGAATTCCTTCCCTCTCCACTCACCATTACATTGGCAAATCATCTCCATGCATGTGTGAAGGCAGGATGAAAATTTCTGTCTCTCAAAAGAGATGAAATGTCATTGTTTGCACTGCTGTGTGCTCCATGAATAACCGTGAGAGAATGTGCTGGGGTTGAATTACCGTGCCAGTCCTGGTGGCTCCTCGTTTATATTTTTTTACCTCACCCTCACACTGGTATTGTGGCTTTTCCAAACCTACAGTTCACCTTTCCCTCCCATATAGGTTCAGCTGCTATTTCCTCCCCGAGGGGCTTCTTTGCTGCAAAGTCCCACCACTGTTCTTAGTTCCTTTACATACCCTTACCTTCAGATGCCCCAGCTTGCTCTGAGTTCAAATATTTTCATTTCCCTTTCCATACAGACAATGTTTTTCCCTTTCCCTTCCACATTAAATTCTCTCCCACACAGATGATTGTTTTTCCCTCTCCAAAGGTCATCCAGAAGGTGGTTTCATAACCAGTCTGACCATTGATGGGCGTTATAGTGCTGTCCTGATTCTCTTGTAGATGAGATGTGGGAGAGTAATGTGGGAGATGCACCGAGTGCAATATGGGGTTTGACTGCTCCTGGGCTTCCCGGAGAAGTAAAACCTTAAGAGAAGATTGTTTCCAACCTAGCAAGCTGCTATCAGTCTGTATTGCCTCCAGCCCAGCCTGGCTCATCATGCAGCAGCAAGGAACGCCAGCCAGCGACTGTCTGGTCAGCCTTACATATGAATGAAAGGAATGCAACCTCCTTCCGCTGCCTTCCACCCCCTCCACTCCCCAGCCCGTGGTTTTCTTGTTTTCATGCACTGCAGTAAAACTCTTTGATCCAGCAAGAGGACTTTGCACGTGCAAGTTGGGTGACCAGCTCACATCTGCCTCCCTGCCTGTGAACCCCACGCTAAGAGCTCTTTGTCTGCGGCAGCACTCACAGCCTTTTCCACAGAGCCCACGCTGGCAGACTGTTCTCGCATGACACACTAACAAACCACCAGCCAAAGGAAAATATCTCACAATCATTTCAGACCCTCTGGCTCAGGACTTTGCACGTGCAAGTTGGGTGACCAGCTCACATCTGCCTCCCTGCCTGTGAACCCCACGCTAAGAGCTCTTTGTCTGCGGCAGCACTCACAGCCTTTTCCACAGAGCCCACGCTGGCAGACTGTTCTCGCATGACACACTAACAAACCACCAGCCAAAGGAAAATATCTCACAATCATTTCAGACCCTCTGGCTCAGCCACTGACTAAGTGGCTAAATTCTTAGCCATTGGCACTGCTGGGTGCATTCGTAACCCACAGCACACTCAGTTCAGACGTGAAGAAAACAAAGCACCGATGGAGAAAAGCGCTCGTTGACCCTAGCCCTGAAGGCTGCATGGGAAAGGAGGCAGCCCTGCTATTCACAATTCAGTCCCAAATTTCCACAGCTATTCCTCTCTGTCCCTCCCTTTTACTGGAGGCAGGAGCTCCCTGCGGGGAAACCCCACTGCAGAGGTCAGTGTGAACACATTTAATGTCTTGATTGTACCAGCTCTGATTTAAGGCACCCAACAGTCAGTGTTTTTTAAGGGAACAGAACACTTGAGCAGTATGAAGGGGTCTGAATGACTTTGTGCTTTGGACTCAAACAAGGTGGTTAGATAAGCCTATAATATCCCTCCCCTCGATTTGCTCAGATTGCTCCTGAGATGTAAATGTTCAAAGGTATTTAGACAACCTGCTTTCCACAGACAAAAATGGGAGACAAGTTCCTCCTACTTGTTCCCAGGTTCTGCATCACAGGTGTGTTTTAACAAGGCTGTATTCAGTCCTCACTGCAAAGTGAAACCACACTTCCTACATAGCTGTGCACAGCTAGGACATGGTCAGGGGCAGGGTGGTGATACAGCTGCAAAGACAAGAAAGCTCCTCATCCACGTTTGTACTTCCTCTTGTCTTTTGTCTTCCTGTTTTCCTAACAGCCTACGCCATCTGCTTAGGACATGGAGAATGGAATCACAAACACTCCCAGTGTACTCCCAGCAGCACTAAATGGTTTGGGTGCTGATCAGACCACTGGCAAGATCAGAGGGGTAGCTGAACCCATCAGGTGAGGGGCTGGCAGGGGGAGGTATGGGCACTGCACCCAGGCAGATGCAGTCTCATCATCTGGTAAAGGTTTTCCCCATGTGCCAGCAAAGCCAGACTTGCCTCTCACACCATACTGCGCACTGTTGCAGATGGGCAGCTCAGCACATCAGAGCACTATGTACAGTCTAAGGCTATTCAAAACTCAAGTTCGCTCTTTTCAGGCTATCGCGTCACATCCCTGACTGACTTCAGGAAAAGCTGAGTAACACCACTTCCACCTCAAGGTGGAATGTGGGGGTCATATCTGAATAGGCAAGGCCACTGGGTCGAGAGCATTCACACTCTTCATCTGTGCCCTCATGGATGCTCCACTGTCTGCTTGAAGGTCTCGGCGAGGACATCCCTGCCCCGGACAGCCCCAGCACTACAAGGAGCCTTCTGACCACACCAATGCGGATTTTAAAACAATGGTACTACTTTCACTGGCTTTCAAACCACTGGATCACAGGTGAGGTCACTCCTGGCAAGGTGGCTATCCCCAGTAAAAGCACTAGAAAGCCCATATAGAAAGATCAAAACCAATGCCTTTTATGTCTTACTATGATTTATACTTCAGACCATGTAACTTTTACAGGGCTGCCTAGCACTTGATGGATGCAGCTCTCTTAACAACCCTCATATTCGTCCGATTTACTGCATCAGTCCAATGTGTTATTTTCTACCTTGCAAGAACAACCTTGCTTCTAGGAATCTGCCTGCCTGATAAGATCGTGAATTAAATGTGCAGTTATCATAAGAGACCACACATTTTACAGTAAAACTGAGAAAACTGATTACAGCAATCCCTCTGGAAACAAGAATAATCACATGATAAGACAGTGCTAATGGCAATTTATCATCTCTCATCACATGTGAAGCTTAGAACAAAGCAGCAACGTGCACGAATGGCACAGCTATTACTGCCAACAAGTAGCAGCCGAAAAGCTACTGGAGACTATGAAGCAATGACAGGAGAGCAGGGAACCCGAACAACCAAACCTAAGGCAATTCACTATGCTTCAACCAGCTTACACACTGAGGCTTATACAGAACATTTGTAAATGTTACCCAAAATAACCGCCTGACATCTATCCATACAGCCTATTCCCTCTCTACCTACACTATTCCATTCAAACTCCATGTCATTCTTCTATTTGTTCTCACTATATTTTAGCACCAGAGAAGTCCAAGATCATGAGCATCTCAAGGGTATGTGCATCTGTGTGCCTACACGTCTGCATCTACACACACACTCTCATGCATACATTATGCCCTGAACCACATATCTGAGGATCTGAAACACATTTTTCTCTTTCCCCCATACAAAAGGCAACCAAAACTTACCCACGCTATTTTCTATTTGAAGCAAATAGCACTTGACTAAAATTAACATTTTAAAGTTTTCTTGGAGAAGTGAGTGCCAAAAACCCAAACTGGCATGCAGTTTTAACAGGAATGATACATCTACATCCCTTAGGTATCCTAAAATTGCTCTGCATCAAGCCCCACAAGACATATGAAATCCCAACAGGTTCATGGTAGGTGGTGAAGTCCTCTGTTCTATTGAATAATAGGTATATTTGCTGGCCTACCCCATTTTCCACTGCCCTGTTTCACAGACAGAAGCTTGGACTTCCAGAAGAGTTCTTTTGTTTGTTTACTAAATGAGAATAAAAGGAGATGGTTATGGTTAGGTGGCAGGAGGACAAGATGAGAGAAACATTCTACGTAAGTACCTGTATGAGTCCTCTGGTGAGCCTTTAAGTGGGAGCTCTTTGTATAAACTTTCCGGCACCCATTAAATTGACAGCGATGAACCCTCTTCTTGTTTTCTGGGGATGCTTCTGTCCCTGTACCTCCTTGTTCACTGTCACTTTGCCCATTTTTTATCGTCCCCGCAGTCGCTGCTGCTACACCCACTTTCACAGAGCTGAGTGAAGTTTTCTTGGCCACCAATTTCAATGTCACTGTGCCATCCACAGCTGAGAGAGTCTGTGAGGTTTTTACAAGGTGGCGGCTGAGCTCCGGAGAGGAAGGGGGAGTTAATGAGGTTACTGCATTGAGTTGGGCCTGGTTGACGGCTGTGTAGCCTTCTGTGGAAGAGCTGGTGGACTGTGAGCTGAGGCACGTCTCAGACAGCAGTTTGTCACGTGAGAGGATAATGTCCATGTTGGCGCTTTTGTCACACGTACTTGTTTCCACTGGTAAAAGGATGGGGTCCAGCCGTCGGATACTGTCCTCTGCATCTGGGGCTGAGGAGGCATGAAGGAAGCAGTCCAAATCCTCACCAAATGTCTCAGAGATCTTCCGTGGTTCAGTCTGAAGGTATCGCTCCAACTCCAGGCATGTCTGCAGAAGGGGAAGGGAGAGGGGAGGGAGAGAAACCAATGTTAGAGAGAGATTACAGCATAGCTCCCACTCAGGGCAGGAGAACAGCACGGACCAAAGCCATTGAAAGACAACACTCACGCACACCAACATATTCTCGTGAGATGGTCCCATTTTGGGTGACATGAAGGCACTTGTTTGACGTTGCTCCAAGACAGTGTCTGGGAATACCCACTTATAGTAGCATATATTATAGTAGAAGTGAAGATATTGCAACTGGAAAGCACCCACTATATTTTCATTAAAGTCTGTACATTGTTCCATGGGTACCAAAGCCTTTCCAGTTCTAAGTGTAATCCAGTCAACAGTCATTTCCATATGAAACTATCCTAAAGGACCCATTGCGGGGCCAGGTACAAACAAAAAGTTACCTCTCCAAATAACTGCTTCCATTTCCTTTACAAACATTAACTTTCACTCCAAATTTAACTCAGCATAGTTGGCTGGGGCCCAATCTGTTCCTAAAACAGCACAATCCTGAAGTGCATCATTTTAAGGTAAGAGACAGAGAAAAACTTCTAGTGACACCACAGCCTGTTTAAACGGCCTGAGAGAAGGAAAGATGACAGGAAAAAAGGGATCTATAGTCAGTTTTAGAAGGGGGTTTTGGCACATCTGCTCAAATGGGACTTCCTGTTTCCTGTATATAGGACACCAGACTTGCACACAAACACATAAGCACCTTCATAAAAAGCAGGTGAAATTGCAGTCAGAGGCTGCCACATAAAAGTGTTTTCTGCACCTCCACAGCAGTGATCACCAGCACGAGAATGGGGCAAGCCTCCTACATGAATGTGCCTTATTATGAGGTGCCCTGAGCTAGCCCAAACAAAGCCTCCAGGCACCATCACACTGCCCAGTGTTCTCCACAGCCAATACTATAAGCTTTTATTGTTTATAGAAAACCGTTTGCTGCAGTTTCAAGAGCTTTAAATGGAGTTTATTAGTGCAGTTTTTCATTTCCTGCTGCCTGAGAGGATAGCTGGTTTAATGTCACCACTGCGATTTCACAGGACTTGGAGAAAGAGACATTCTAACCAACACTCTTTAGAAACCTCTAAAAACTACTCCTCAGAGAACACTTCTAGAGATATTAAGAAAGGGATTTTAGGCAAAAATTTTCAGTCTATGGGAGCTGGCAACCCAACTACATCTCAGTCTGGAGAGTCCAGTATCTGATCAAGAAATAAAACCTTCATATGACCGGAGGAGAGACAGAGACCTCTGTCTTCTGGGTACAAAGTTCCCATCAACAGGAGTGTAAAGGGCTCACAGCTCTCTAGGAGATTCCAGGTAATTCAAGATTATTACTTTCAAAGCTCCCAGGATGCAGCACTGCTGGTTGCAGATACAGTGTGGTAGGATGACTAGGAGTTCGCAACAAAATCTGCCAGTTATCTGTTGTTTCTTCTTAAAATAAAGCTGATTATTGATCTGAGCTGTACAGATGGACTTAGACAAAAAACAACAGAACAGCAATATATGCGATACTTCAGCATGTAGTGTATTTTCAGAGGTACGGCACAATGTGTCTGCACACAGGCCTAGAGTGGGGGACACATCAATTATACTTGTCTTAAGCAACCTTACAATTTTCTTTACAAAGTGCATTTCTGGGACCACAAGGAAGAGCTATTAGCTAGGAATCTGGTCTCTCCCCAGATAAATCTTGATGGATTTTGGTAGAAACTCTCCAACATGTCTTTCAGGAAGAACCCTCACCACCAGGAGAGGTGACACTTTTGAGATTCTAGCATCATGTAATTTTGGCTTTCTGCCCACTTAGCCTTCATCCACTGGGGTAGAAACAGATTTAGGGGCCTAATAAATAGAAGGTTTCCAAAGAAAAGAGCAAGCATAACCACAAATGAGGGGTGGAAAGCAGGCAACAGGGGGAAGAGAGACAAGGGCACAAGGCCATTAAATCCGATGACAGTGACATGAAATTTCAATTGCTGTGGGATCAGAAAGCTGCATGCCAGCTCTGGGCTGCCCATGGAGGAGAGGCAAACAGGAGGCACTGCTCCTTTAAGGCATCACTACCCCTCGACAACAATAGTGGGCCTGACAGTTTTTCCAGCTTCACCATTAATTTTCCATAAAGAGCAGTTTCTCGATGAGCCCTTTTCAGGCAAAGCCTAATGCTTCAGAAACCTGTAATTATTCCTGGCTCCCCCCTCCCGCAGCCACTGCACCTGTGCCATTTCAAGACACCAGCTGGTCATGTCTTGCCTTCTGCCTCTGAAATCCAAAACCAGTGGATCAAGCCCATCACCCCATAGGGGGGGAGAAAAACATCTCAAAGAAACAATATAATGCAGCTCCTCCCTCCCACCCCCCTCAGCCTCTCCACCAAGTCAATAGCAGGGAAGAGCCTAGCAACGCTGAGCCAGAAAAGCCCTTCACCTAATCTGCATGGCAGACAAAGCCTGGCGAGGGGTTACCGCCACAGCCCTTCCTCTACCTCCTGCCAGGGCCCTACCTGCTGCTGCACTTGCCAGAGCAGGCAACTGTCGGCAGAAGCAAAGCATCTTTCCCCATATGCACTTCCCAGCTTCTGCCAAGTACCTTATGCGACCTTCTCTCCTTGTGGTCCAAATCACACAGGGAGTGGCGAGGAAGGGTTTTGAAACCAGCCTGCTTTCTTCACTTCTGCCCTGGCATGACAATTTTTAGGCCAACTAAGCCAAGTCCCTCATCTTGAGGTTCATCTGGAAAAAAACAGTCAGGCTGAGACCACCAAGGTCCCCTCTCCATGCTGGTGAACCATCAGGAAGGACAGGAAGTTTCTTTTGTTTCTCTTCCCAAAAAGCTATTTGCTAACAAGCACATCAAAAACTACCAATTTTTTTTTGCTGGACATCCAGCTTCTCCTAACTACTCAAGCAAGAGAGAGGGAGCTTTGCCTAACAGACATAGCACATGTCACACATGATGTTAAGTCTGACTATCTTTTGGTTGCTACACTGCAGGCAACTTGGTGGGTATTGAACTTTCTTCCTCAGTGCCTGCAGGATTTATAGCAATAAAGACTTAAAAAATTGCAATAGGCAGGAGAAGATGGATCCCTTCAGAAACACAAGAAGAAGAACCCTAAGACTGCTGTTTGCTGTCAAGCCAGTTTTCCAGGCTAGGAATAAAAAGTGACCCACTACTTCAACCCATCTGCCTTGATTAATGAGGGTCATTCTCCTTGCACCTTACTCCTCAATTTACCCAGTTAAAAGAAATGATGATTCATGGCTGACAAATACCAGGATGTGACTTTGTAAGACCCCACTTACTTGCAGAAGGCCAGACAGAAAAGAACAGCAGTCTGGCTCATGGACAATCCTGTCAAGGCCTCGGCCTGATTTTTCAATTTTGAATACAATTGCAAAAAGGTTCCCTTCTCCAGTAGAGGAACATTTCCATTACCTGAAAGAAACATGTATTTCCTACCAGAACATTTCTTTGCTCCCCATATTATAATATCATTCAAGACCTCTGGGGCACGTATAGCACCAGAAAACAAGTAAACTGCACACCGTGACACTTCCATGTTAAGTACCAGATCCTTCAGACTGTACAAGACAGCTACTGTAGAGCCTGGTAAGGACCTACTTCTTGTTAGTCCTTTCAGAATTTGCAGTAGCACTGATCCAGAAAAATTCAGTGTTCAGTACATCTGTCAATTCAGAAAGGTACGACCTCTAATTTAGCAGTATTCTTACCTCTGGAGCCCATCTAAAGCTCATCCACTGAAAGTAAAGATTATTAACCAAACTCCATGTATGAGTATGCATACCACTATGAAATACAACGCAAGAGAAACCCAGTGTGTGACTCTGATAGTAGAGATGTGATACATGTGTACTATTTTCAGCAGAGCTTAGCACTCACCTAATTCTGTAGCCAGCAAAAATTGAGACAGTTTTGCTACTAACTTTGTCAACAACAAGGCAAACCTGAGACTTTGCAATCCCTACCAGACCTGCAGATACTCTGTTTGGCTCAGAGAAACCAAGTTTTAGGGTGTATGTCAGCTGTCCAGGTCAAAGTGCAAGTCAGAACATTCAAAATCCAAATATGAAGGAGCTAAGTCACCACTAGTGATGCTGACGTTTGACTTCATGACTCTACCCCAGAGAGGAACCAGGAGGAAGGCTCTAGCTTGAACCACCATTGTCATCAATGTGCCAAGCCTCCAAACAGTATAGGTACCTGATGTCACTATCTGCCCTTCAGAGAATGATGGGGGAAAGACAAGCCTGTAGGCCAAGAGCCTTGGCAGGGACACAAGTTTGGCACCTAGGTTCAGGTCCAGACAGCTCTCAAAAACCTAATTTCAACTGAAGACCCAAAATAAACTCTTAAATTTCCAGGGTATAATTCTAAACTTGCTCCAATGAATTGCAAAGAACTAGTGTCTCTTGATAGTCATGCTGTATACTGGAATCTGACCCACACACACAGGCTTTTGAAAAACCACAGGTCACTTCAGAAGCACTTGCCCACACTGCAGGATCTTTTCAGCACTCAAACTCCTGGGTGACCTGCACAACGCCAGGACAATATGGCAACAGTAAAGTTCTGCCAAGGGTAAAAAAGAAGCCCTAACACTGACAATAATTTGAGGACAGAAAGACAGGGAAGACACATTATCAACGTGTTCGCTGGATTCCTCTGTTTTATTGATGCTTAAGTATTTTATATCATCTTGATTCTGAATTTTTCTAGCAGATCATGCGAAGTTCTTATCTGGAAGTGCTAGTTACTTCTAAGTGCCATTTTACTGCAGATATAATTGGACATCAAGCACTGAACTTGGAAGTTATCCAAGATCTAATTAAGAAGTTGGATACTTAGATCAGGCTGTGACAGAGAATGAAAAAGCTGAATGTGGTTGACAAGCAGGTCTGATCTACTAGCTCTGTTTACAATACTTGAACAGACTCTCTTCATAATTTACACAAGCAGAGCAGAATTATATATGCAATAGTGAAGGTCAAATTCCAACCTCCATCATGACCCCACTGCTTTACACTGGCATGTAAAAAAGGGGCCTCATCTCTAATTGAAATAACTGTGGAAGTCTCAAGACTGCAAAGAAAGAGAAAGGATCCTCAACCTGAAGACAACCCAAAAAAGCAACACTAAGGTCAGTGCCACTGCGATTCACTCAACCTCAGAGCAAACAGCGGCACCAGGTCCAGTGCCAAGTGTGTTTCATTCTTCATCAAAACAGCAAAAGCTTTGAGCTACAGCGGCTCTTGCATTGCTGA